TTTGTGGGAGAAAGATGAGGTGAGACTTTCTACTCCAATAAAGACTTACAGCCTCAGAAACCCTATACAGGGCCACTCTGAGTCAGAATAACTTGACTGCACCTAGCAACAACAACAACAGAAATAGGAGTAGTCCTGAACCTGTGTGTCTATTTGTTGTTTTTGATTATGAGAAAAATCATGGCAGAGTGACAAATGTTGACCCTATCCTTTGATGTTGGAGGAGATACATAGGGTGGAGTACAAGTTAGAAAACAGAATTCTATAGACCAGCACTGTCACCATCTCTCCTTGATCTCAGACAATCAGATTATACTTAATCTTTGGATAGCTCAGATAAATTAAAAGAAATGCCAACCTTAGTTATTTCCTAGTGTTATGCAGATTAAGTAATAATGTAAAAGCATTTATAAAAAGTATCTCATGCTAGGTGACAGAAAGGTAACATGACTTACTTTGCAAGCATCTCTCTTGCCTGACATTACGCCAGCACAGAGCATCCGTGACGTGATGATCCCATAGGTGGACACACAGAGGGTTTGGTCAATGAGCTCTACCTCTGCTTGCTGCAAAATATTGGAGCCTTTATTGTCTGGGAAACAGATTGGAAATAGAAATCATGGAAATGGTAATAACTACACTTATGGAAGACTTTATTAAACACTTTTCTCACATTATCCCATTATCCTCTTAACAATTCTTTGAGATTGTTGTTGTTGTTAAGTGCAATCGAGTCAGTTGCGACCCTGTATAGGGTTTCTGAGGAGCAGCTGGTGAGCTTGAACCGCTGACCTTGCACTTTAAACAGCTTTGCAGTCTGGTGCATTGACCCACAGTGCCACATCAGGACTCCCTAATTCTTTGAGGTAGATTCTTTTATTGTCATCACTTTACAAGTAAAGAAATGGAGGCTTTGGAGGCTATAGGGTTTGCCCAGCTAGCATGAAACAGAATAAGATTCAGACCCAAGGTTCTAACTTGATTACTTAAGCCACTGTGCCACAGTCCGCCACCACCTCCTGTTTTCATTGGGACTGTGAGTTAGAAACTGTTATTATCAATATTTACTGTCAAGGGAGTGCCTTCGATGGAGTGGCAGAACTTATCTATGGCAGTTTCCTATAAACCATAACATTACAGTTTGGCTATGGCCCCTTCACTTCCTTTCTATGCTATCTGGCTAATGAGTTTGTTTTGTTGTTATTTTTAAGTAAATATGCACACATACATATGCACTGCTATAGGATAAGCACTGAACTGATAACCCCAAGGTTGGCAGTTCAAACCCACCAGTCACTCCTCAGAAACCCAATACAAGGTTACTATGAGTCAGAACTGACTCGATGGCACTTAGCAAACAGAAAAAATTAAAGCCTTTCATGAGAAGTTGGCTAAGTAGACTCTTTCCTCCTGTGATATATAATTGTATAATGAAAGCATTGGACACAGCCCTGGTATGCTTCAGGTGTTTGAACTGTTAGCTGCCTTCCCATGTTGGGACTTGCAGGTCTCAGCAGGTTTGAACTAGTGGTGAATATCACAATTTGAATAAGCTAAATAGAGACAGTGAACACTTGATAAGGTGTCCACATGGATTTTTAGAGTTCCAAAGTGAGAGAGTAGGAGAAGGTTGAAGAATTGCAGAAAGTGAATCTGCTCTAAGTCCTAGAATAGGACTATAAAGGGATCTGAGATGATAGATCAGGGTAAAGTATTAGCATGAGGCTTTAGGAGACTTTAGCAAAGCTTTGGGTTCCATTCTTCATCATATACTCAACCTACCATGCAATCCTGGACTGTGGAAAACTTTGGCAGGACAGCTGCAAAGGCTTAGCTACCAAACACTTTGCCTGTGTTATGACCTCATTGTGTTCTTCCAAAATAGTAATTGGAATCCTAACCTCATATCTGAGGATGTAAACTCATTTGGCAATAAGATTGTTTTTATTATGTTAATGTGACCATGACAGTGTAGAATGTATGACTCCTAAACAGAATCACTTCTGAGTTATAAAAAGAACAGATTAGACACAGAAGCCAGCACAGGCGGGGTGGGGGAGGGAGGCAGGAGAAGTGGTAGATAGATATCCCATGAATATCCCCAAGGAATGTTGGTGTGCCAGGCCTAAAGAAGTTGAATGAGATACAGATCTTACCCCAGATTGTGCAGAAAGAGAAACTTTCCCTATAGCAGGTGCCCTGAATTTGAACTTCTAGACTCCTAACTGTGAGAAAATAAATTTCCCTTCTTTAAAGCCACTACTTGTAGTATTTTTATTACAAATGCACTAGGAAACTATGACACCCTGCTTTTGTGCATGTTGAAAAAGATGCCCCTCTGAGTGGAGGAATTAGAAATAGGTAAAAGAACCAATAGATCTGTTTTGGAAGAAGTGCAGCCAGAGTGCTCCTTGGAGGCCAAGATGGCTAAGCTTCGTCTCTCATACTTTGGACATATTGTCCGGAGGGAACAGTCGCTGGAGAAGGATGTCATGCTGGGTAAGGTGGAAGGTCAGAGAAAAAGAGGAAGACCCCTAACGAGATGGATTGGCCAGGTGGCATCATTGATGGACTCAAGTGTGGCAACAGTAGTGAGGTTGGCCCAGGATCAGACATTGTTTCATTCTGCTGTGCATGGGGTCGCTATGAGTCGGTTCTGACTCGATGGCACTTGACAACAACAACAAACCCCCCTCTAGATAGACCAGTTTGAAAAGGGTTCTTTGTTTCTACACAATATGTACCCCAGGCCATCACATGCAGCTTGAAAAAACAAGAACAGGCTAAATTTCAGTCCTCACTCTTATCCCCCTGGCTTTTGGCCCTGTGTAGGACAGATCTGTATAATATTCTGGATAGTTGTCTATGAGTTGACAGAGTGGGTGTATGTATGTGTATATGTGTGTATGTTCTTTTCTCTCTTATAAAATCAAAGCATTTCACCTCCTCAGATGATAAAACAACCTAGAAAAAGTTACGAATGAGTTGCTCTTCTGCAATAGGAAACCTAGCAAAACCTTCAACTTTGGTAAAGGGCCCATATTATCTGGAACCTTCCTGATGACATGCCTGATTCTTTTAAGGTAGGTAGAGAACATAAGTTTGAACCATACAGTCAGTGGTTCAAACTCACCAGTCTCTCCTCAGAAAGTCTATACAGGGTCACTATGAGTTGGAACCAACTCGACAATACCTATCAACAACCATAACAAAGAATATCATAAAACAGATATAATAATAATGCCCCCTCCATTCTGCCTCATAAAGTTGTCAGGAGGCTCACATGAGACCACATACATAAACCTTCCCTATAAACACCAAAGCACTCCATAACCCTTAGGCATTATTACTGCCTGGAGGGGAAGGGTCTGGACATCCATTCATGTACACACCTGCTTCGTGCCTTCGTCCCCAGCCGGTTACCCAGCACTTCTCCCCACTGTATACTTTCTGACCAGCAGGAGGAATGCATATGGGCTGAATGAGTTGTTTCAAAGTCTCAGGCCAAGCAATACTGAGCTGTAGCAGGGCAATATCATAGTCAAAGGTCTGGCTGTTATAGTATTCGTGGACCACAATTCTTCTCACTGGGGAGACAAACTTGGCATTCCCCTGCACATACATTCCAAGGTGAGCAGTCCATGGTGTGGGATCGGACAACCTAATAGAAAAGGAATGAAGTACAAAGTCAGTGGCTCAAAGGACCATACATGGTTCTGAAACAAGTCCTCTGAAGAGAACTAAGAAAAGAGAGCCTGGTTTTGCACCCCCGTTGTAGCCACTGACTCTGTCCAGAGACATGGCAAGAAGCACACCTTGTACGGGTCTCACCTCTTTAGTAAAACCACAAGTGAGATTTGCAGAACAATCACTCCACTACTCACTAACGAAATGCCTGGGTATGTTCTTGCCACTGGCATTACACAAGCAACACACATGTCAAGAACATTGGCATTTAGAATGACTTTGCTACATTCTTCCTATTCAGGCTGATTGCAATAGTTGATGAAGACAGAACTATTTACCAAAACCAAATGATTTGAACTCCAAGATACATTAGAATCAAGGTATTACTAGCAGGAATTTAATGAAATTCCTTTTGTAAACTACCAGAAGGCTTAAAAATTATAGCTGTAGTTGTTCAAGTGTGACCGTTCACTTGGTCTTCCGTCAGTCCTTCCTGAATCCTAATCCTGACTCTGGTACCCATGCACAAGTCACCAAGGGACATGCAGCCTCCATGTTTGACTTTCGTTTTCAAAGGCACAGCAACATTGCTTTGGTGACCGTAAAGAGAATGTAAAAGCTTTTGAGAAAAACGTAAATATGGTCACAACCCAAACAGTGTGGCCACTAATCTGCTTAGCTGGCAGTTTATGGGTATAATAATGGAGCTGTAATAATCCAGGGGAGTATTTGGGTTAACATAGTATTTGAAGCAGCTGCACTGCATAAAAGACTAATTATCAACAAGGGAGAAGCATTTTAGTAATTAATGTAAACCCTGGAATTTCCAGAAACAAATGCTCACATTGCATAAATTGGTTGAAATATTCCACTTCAAAAAAAGTTTAAATAGGACCTAGCCTTGATGGCTTGATAATCAGAACTCGACTAGAGGAAGATGAAAAAAGAAAAAGAACAAAACAATTTTTGATAAAGGAAATGAGGGTAAATTGCTATAATTTGATGAACTTGACCTATACTCATGGAGGCAGTAACTTTAAATATCCACTGAGAGGGAAGGAGTCTTCACAAGTATCAATGTTATCCCGTCTGTATACAGGGTAGATAGGGATGGGCAACTTAGACATTGGCTACATAAAATGAGGGGGCAATAAAGGCACCAAATGACTGGCTTACAAGGTTTCAAGAGGGAGTTTAGTTTAAGAGTGTGTGGGAGAA